TATATTAAAATAAAAAAAATTTTAGCGAAGGGATGGTATTTTCCATTCTTTATATCGCTAAATCATAGCCCATTCGAATTTCATAAACTAATGTTTATCGTCTAGTATCTCACTCTAAATAACACTGAGAGATATTATCCATCATAATGCACTTGTTGTACCCCTGTAATACTTAGAAAGTAAAAAATATACAGTCCCCACCCCAATGATCTCTAGACCGGATGCTCGTGCACTTGGCGTGTCGCCTATGGATAACTATTTCGATTCGATTTCGGTTTGAGTGTCGATTCTATGGATCTCAAAGCCCCGTTCGCGTTTTAAGTATCTCCCATACTGTGTCGAAATCATTGAAGCATCGCATTACATAGACCCATTCTGGTGCTGTTTGGCTCGAACTCGTTCAAAGATTCAAATGTGTTAGATTGCCAAGGCGGAAGCTTAATCGTTAACTATGGGCGCTGACTAACAAGTCGTCGCATATCTACACACACACACACATACACATACTCACATTCATACATGTAATGTTTCCCACGTGCAGCACGGCAGCAACAACAAGTGGCACGCACACCCTGAAGCCAATCTCACACCCTGCCACGGCCCCTGCCACAACAAGTTGCAGCCATATAGCACGCACCAAGCCCGAAATGAATGAAATGAAAAGGGGGAAACGCGACATAAAATACTTATTAAAAAAGGCGAAAAGTTAATAATATGCGAGAAAGCAACAAACAGTAAACAGTAAACAGCAAACAGTAAAAGGTAAAAGCGTCGCCCATGAAGCAAAGTTCCGATGCCGTTGCCACGTTGGTGGTTGTCGATGCTGCTGTTGCTGCTGCTGCTGCTGCCTCCACAGACAGGCAACATAAAGCACGGGTCAGCAAAGGTGGTGCTGGTGCTGGTGCTGCTGGTGGTGGCGGTGGCCAGCGCAAATCTTTCAAGAGTAGTTCCGCTCTTTTGTATTGTGGCCACAGTTGCAGCACATCCGCTCCAAGTTGGCTGCCTCTGTCACGAAGAACGCTTCGACCTGTGAGGGAGTACGCACTGATTATCTTTGTATAATGATTGCAATTAAAAAGCGGCTCACGCGGTGGGCGGGGCGATAGGCGTGAAATGTGCGGCACAGGCCAAACTAACGAGGGCTCTGCTCGAGGAGGCGTGGGGAGAGGAGGCAGAGGAGACTAAGGTGCAGTCGATCACTTGTAGTTTGTACCGGAAATAGGCACCATTTTGAGAGCTAGTGCGAGTGTGTGTGTGTGTGTGTGTGTAAAAGTCGAGCTCAGTTCAAGTTCTTGTTGCGCATTGGCCAGTAAAAGAGACAGAGATTCAAACGAATATTGCTCAATTGTTATTATGTTACGCTTAGTGAGCAGACTGTGACGATGTCTAAGTGTGCGTGCTCGCGTGTGTGTGTCTGTGTGTTGTGGGTGTATTTCTTTGCGCTTCCATAAGCAGCGCGCCTCAGCGAATCACTAGGCGAGACCAGAGAGAAATCGCCGCTTTCGATCGTTAGTCGCTCACTCCCCTCGCCGCAGCGCTGCCCTCCTCGCCATGCCTCAGCCGCTGCGCTGCGCTGCTTCTCCTTTGGCTACACAATTGATTTCGCCGCGTTTCGTATTTGCTGTTCGCCGTCATCGTCGCTTGGCTGCCTCTTTGATTTAGTTCACTATCTCCCTCTGCCCACAAGTTCGCCTCGTCTCTCACTTATCTTTCATTAAAAGCATTGGCGCTCGTTCGCCGCGCTGATTAACTTGCAAGTCGGCTCGAAATTTCATTGGCTGTTTAGTTTTTCTGTGGGCTGGGCAGCGCCTTTGCTTAGCTTAAGGCAGCTTCTGTTCGCATGTGTGCGCAGAGAGCTGGTGGAGCTAATCAATAAATCATTTCAAGGTTTTCTTAATTAAAACTTTTTTGGCCAGAAACAAGCCACAGACTCGCTTCTCTAATAAACTTTTCCACATGCCATGAAAGACAAAGTTCCAAAAATAAAAAATATATATGTATATGTATACATAAAAGAGAGGGCAAACGGCGAAAAATTGATTAACTGCCCGAAGACCACAAAAAACTTCAGTTGAGCAAAGTTTCGAACCCTTTCCAATAAGAAAAAGTTTTCAACTTCGAACAAGAAAACGAGTCAGCCCTCCGAGGAGCATGTGAAACTAAAGCAAGCAAAAACTGTAAAACTGAAAACTATTAAACGCTTAAGTCAGGCGGAAAATGAGACAAAATAGTTGCAGAACTTAGACACTGAAAGAGAGAAGCACAAATATGCTCAGCCTTAATTAAGGGCAACTTGAGCAAGGTATTGCAGGAAGAAGCCGAACAGGAAAAAAAGAGTTATAAAATAAAAAACAAGAAAACAGAAAATAAATTCGACTAATTGGCTGGCGCGAAGACTCAAGCGCCAAGGGCCAAATGCTGGAAACAAAAAATGAGGCAAACAACCGCAAAATAGCGACAAGAAAAATCAAAAGAAATCGCAGTGGAAACTCAGCATCGACCCCACTTGACATTAACCGTTAACCGCTTAAGCTGGCCACACTTATTTGTGTTTTCTTCTGGCGTTTTCTTGAAATATTTACCCAGGCCAAACAATGGAACCAAGAAGAAAATAAGAAAAAAAAAGTAAAACCCAACGACATACACACACACACACGCAGGAAATGCACTACTACAGTTACAAAAAGTTGCTGCTTTTGGGGTCTGTATTGACATAATTTCTGCCACAAGTCACACTCAAGGCGTTGGCCAGGCACTTGAGCACAAATTCTAAGGACGAATCCACCCTCAATTAGTTGCTCAGTGTATCCTGGCAAAGACGTTGTCCTTTTGCATGTTCTTTTGTTAATATTTGCTTTCTTTCACCGGATTGTTTGGGCTCAGTTTTCAGTTTCAGTTACAGTTTCTGGTTGGATTTCTGGTTGGGCTCTGGTTGGGTTCTGGTTGGGTCTTTGGTTTCATTTACATGGTCGTTAGACGACTTTTGCCGCAAATTAGCCTTTGTTCTGCTGATTAGCCAGACGCTTTCTTATTGGCATTTCCGCTCACAGTTTATGCCTGGCAAATGTRAAAGGGATATTCGTGGAAATAAGTATGAATCTAATGGTAGTTTAAGTGATATCATGGTTGCAAGGAACTCGGCTGGCTGTTTTAGCTTATCTAATCGGAATTTGGGCCGATTGCTGCCTGCACCATTTGTCAAATCTTGTACACACTTCAATCCTTGATAAGCACCGATTGTGGCTATATACGTGTATATCTCTATATATATATTTATAGGTATATTTAGATCATATCTAATCAATGGCCAGCTAAAATATTGACTTGTTTGCGTAGTCAACTTTTATTTGCTTATTAGCTTCAAGTATTTTTTTCGAATTCGATTTTATCAGCCCAGCACAGCAAATAGAAACGAATCTGTTTGCACTGTATCTTATCGGAAAATGCTTTTCCAGCATTTGAATGCATTTTCATAATTTATGTGAGACCTTTTACCTGTTGGGCCAACCCTTCTTCCTTCCGCCTGTTTCTTTCTTCCGCCAAACAAATGAAACCCGCTCGAACTTCCGCTTTCAATAAGTGTCTAATAAGTCCAAAGTTCTGGTTGCAACCCTTAGTTTAGGCCCAGGCCCTGTTTTTTTTTTTTTTTTTTTAGTTAGTTAGTTCCCACCGTTTACTAGTCGGCACCCTTCTGCGGAATTTCCCGGATATTGTTATTGGTTTATACTGATGGCCATGTGAACGCCTTTTCCTTCCGCCGTTCGACGCCTACGCCGACGCCTGAGCCGCCCAACTTGTTGTTGCCTTTCGTTGTATTTGCTCAGGCAATTCTCCAAATGTGCAAAATGATTGCGGCTTCGTGTTAACCTCCACTACACCAAACCCACACCACACACACACACACACATTCGAGCCAAGTTGAACCCCTCGGCCCGAGTGGCTTAATGTTTGAGCCACACGCGAGCTGAAAATTGCTGTGCGAAAAAATAATGGCACAGTTGCAGAGTCACTGCTTGCGGTTTTAGAGGCATTCCACGGCACTCCAATTAGATTTGCAGTTTTATAAAAGAAATAGGAATGTAAATTTGCTAATATGAAAAGCGGTTTGAGAGTCACTGAATACAGTTTGGGAGCTATTGCCAATTCGAATTACATTTGACTCTAATTGAAATTTCGACTTTGAGCTGTTTAAGAAAAGAACTTAAGAAATTCCAATCGAAATAGCTTCTTAACTCTTTTTAGCAGAAATATGCCAAACTCCAATTGGAATGAAATTCCCCCAAAGCCAAAGATTAATAATCATTATGCTTAAATTAAAATTGAAATTAATTTTTATTGCAAAGTATATGTGTGTGTATGTATGTATTCATATTTCTTTTGTTCTATTTTTGTTTGTCTTGCATTTTAAAAAATATACGAACTAAATATTTACTCTACTATCACTTATAGTTCTAAAGAGCAGTTAACAATTTTCACTTAAGTTTTCGCACTCGATGTGGATTCGATTCTATGATTTCCTTTGCCTATTTGATTGTGTGAGTTTTTCTTTTGCTCAGTTCTCGTTTCCATTTATGATTTGTGTATTTTTTTGAGATTTTTGTATGGTTCGTTTTGTACTTTCCAAAAACTCGCTGACACTTGGAGGCTAGAGCGAAGGGCGATTCTCATTTGGGTTTCGCGGCGTACATGGACGATATATATGTACGATATGTATGTATGTATATATATGTATATTTATATACACATAATATATATATACATATAGATGCATGCACAGTCATATATACAGATATAGATTGGCACTAATACACATACATAGTGATATGTATATATATGCGTTATTGCTACTTGGTCAAGTTCTTGCGCTGCTCAGCGATGTCCTTCTCGTTCAGGTGAATGACCCGACGGCCGAAGCGCGCCGTCAGCTTGGAGAAGAAGCCCACCCGGGAGGCGGGCTTGGTGTCGTCCGCCGACAGTGGCGGCGCCTGATAGGCGTCTTCCTCGCAGTTGCCCGAGGTGCGCCCATTTTTGCCACTGCGGCCCTGGCCGAAGTGAAATGTCGCCCGGGCCACGTTGCTGCGCGTGAACGGCTTGTCGGAGGACTTCTCCGACGGCGTCGCTGTGGCCATGGGTGTGGGCGTGGTTCGGCCGGAGGCAGCGCTGCAGGCGCCAGCCGGCTGGCCATTGACTTGCAGCCGCTCCAGCAGACGCCCGTCCATGGGCGACTTGGGCAGCTGACTCCCGTTCGTCTGCGTGATCGGATCGGCCTTCTCGTAGAGCGTGCTGGGACGGCGGCCCGAGCCCTGGTAGTGGAAGCGCTGTGGACTCTTCGCTATCTTCTGCGTCTGGGCCAGCTGTCGCTGGGCGCTGAGCAGCGTCGGCTTGACGTCAAYGCCGCCCGAGACATTGGCTCCGGCTGTACGCCTGCCATGGGGCGGCAGCGGTGAGCGGGCGCGACTGGGCGTGGTRGTGGCGCTGGAGCTGGCGCTGGTGGAGGTGGCGGTGCTGGTGCTCGCCGAGCTAGAGGAGGCTGGCTTGCGGGCGGGTGTGCGGCGTGTGGGCTTGGCGGGTGGAGCTGCTGCAGCAGCGCTGCTCGGATTGTGTGTGGTGTGTGCAGGGCTGGCTGATGCCGTTGCCGTGCCCGTCGCCGTCGCCGTTGTGGTTGTCGTTGCCAGAGCATTGGCCACGCGTGGCGGCAGCGGGCGGTTCGTGGCCGAGAGAGTCTTCTCGAGGGGCATCATCACCTGCACACAGCTGGCGACAGGCAGTGCGCTGGAAGAGGAGCTGTCCGACGTGGCGGTCTCCGACGATGTTTGGCGGGAGTTGCGCGGCTTGGTCACGCCCAGCAGCATGTAGGTGCAGTAGATGTCATCGAAGGCTTGGCCTCTCAGCGACGCCTCCACGTCGCGCCGCTTGTAGCCCATGTTGACCAACATATCCAGCCGAATGGCGTCCTGTAGCTCCATCGGCTTCTCGCGATACGGTCGCAGTCGATCAGCCTCCTCGTAGCCCAGATTGATCCACTTGTCGCTCATCACATTGTTAAGGGTGGTGCGCTTGGCCGGATTGAGCACCAGAAACTTGCGCATCAGATTCTCGCAGTCCATGGAGATGTAGTAGGGCACGCGGTACTTGCCGCGCAGGACGCGCTCTCGCAGCTCCTTGAGTGTGCCGCCGTCGAAGGGCAGGGAGCCGCTGACCAGCGTGTAGAGCACCACGCCCAGCGACCAGGCGTCCACCTCGGGGCCCGCATACTTGCGGCCCATAAAGAGCTCCGGAGCGGCATACGGCGGACTACCGCAAAACGTTTCCAACTGGGCATTCGGATCGAAGGTGTTCCCAAATCCAAAGTCGGCGATCTTGATGTTCATGTGCTGATCGAGTAACAGATTCTCGGCCTTCAGATCGCGATGGACGACGAACTTGCTGTGACAGTATTGGATGGCCGAGACCAGCTGGCGGAAGATGACCCGGGCGTCGCGCTCCCGCATGCGTCCGTTCTTGACCAGGTGATCGAATAGCTCGCCGCGGCTGGCATATTCCATGATGAGGTAGAGCGTGCGCTCCGACTCGATCACCTGGAAGAGGCGGACGATGTTCGGGTGGTTGAGCAGCTTCATGATGCGCACCTCGCGGTACAGCTTCTGCCGGGCGCTGGCGTTCAGCTGCGTCTTGTCTATCACCTTGATGGCCACCTCGCGCCCGGTGGGCACATGGAGGGCGAGCTTCACCTTGGCAAAGTTGCCCTTGCCCAGCGTCTTGAGGATCTTGTAAACGCCGTTGCCGTTGCCATTTACATACGACTGAAACTTGAGCTCCGTGCCATTGCCCATGCCATCGGTCGCATCCTGGCCGGCTGCCTGGCTGCTCTGGCGAACCGTTGCGCCGCTGGGCGTGGCCGGCCCCGCCTTCGATGGCGTTGCACCAGCAGCACTAGCTAATGCAGTTGCTGTTGCACTGGATGCTGTCGCTGCTGCAGTTGCACCGTGGCTCGCTGTGGCCGTGCCAGCTGTCGGGGATTTCCTAACACAGTTCTCCTTCTCGGATGTTTTGAATGATTTGGGCGCTTTCTCGTCTGCTGCTGCCGCTGCTGCTTTTACTTTTGCCGCACTCTCATCTGCCAAGCTGAATTCTACAATTTCTAAATGTTTATCCGCCGACATTCTAAACTTACAAATTTTGTAGAGCTTCAAACACGAAACTGACAGCTAAGCAGCTCCTAGAATGAGCCCCAGTTCCCCAGCCCTTTCAATATAGCCAAGTGGCGTATGTCTGCCGCAGGATTTCAGTTCACGTCCTTTACGAAGCTCTACGCACGCCGCGCACGCGTCCTTTTGAATCGCCAAATGGCAAATGGAAGCCTGCTGCCCCTCCCCTACACTGAACTCAAGGCGTAATTGTTGACTCGTCTGGTTTTCCAGCTCTGAACATCTGCTCGTTTTCGTCGGCACCCTCCCGGCCTGGCTTGGTCTGGTAAGCTTTAAGATAAGACCGACCAGGGCAGCCACTGGCTGGGCGCGTGTATCGGTGGCTCTAACCCTCAGCGTTCAGCTGGCATTGGTGTGGCCGATAGGCATAGCTCGTCCTCGGCAGGATCGCTTGTCGCTTGCTTTGTCTCGACCCTCACATGCGCCGCAACTTCCTTATGAACTCAACAACCCCTCGACATTTGCTCGCAGTCGCAGGAGTCGCTGTCGGAGCCAGAGGCAAATTTGTTTGCCTAATGCTTCATGTGGCACGAGCGCATAACCCAATGAGCCTTTTCGTAGTCCTCGCTCCTCGCTCCTCCTCACTCCTAGCTACTTGCTACTTGCCCCTTGCTCCTTTGCTCGCCTTCCCTTTCGATATAGCCAAGTGGCGTATGTCTGCCGCAGGATTTCAGTTCACGTCCTTTACGAAGCTCTACGCACGCCGCGCACGCGTCCTTTGAATCGCCAAATGGCAAATGGAAGCCTGCTGCCCCTCCCCTACACTGAACTCAAGGCGTAATTGTTGACTCGTCTGGTTTTCCAGCTCTGAACATCTGCTCGTTTTCGTCGGCACCCTCCCGGCCTGGCTTGGTCTGGTAAGCTTTAAGATAAGACCGACCAGGGCAGCCACTGGCTGGGCGCGTGTATCGGTGGCTCTAACCCTCAGCGTTCAGCTGGCATTGGTGTGGCCGATAGGCATAGCTCGTCCTCGGCAGGATCGCTTGTCGCTTGCTTTGTCTCGACCCTCACATGCGCCGCAACTTCCTTATGAACTCAACAACCCCTCGACATTTGCTCGCAGTCGCAGGAGTCGCTGTCGGAGCCAGAGGCAAATTTGTTTGCCTAATGCTTCATGTGGCACGAGCGCATAACCCAATGAGCCTTTTCGTAGTCCTCGCTCCTCGCTCCTCCTCACTCCTAGCTACTTGCTACTTGCCCCTTGCTCCTTTGCTCGCCTTCCCTTTCGATAACGTTGCTGTTTGGATCGTGTGCCGTTGCTCCGGTTGGTGTCAAATTAAAATCCACTCGAATTATCGCTGAGCGTTGACAACTTCGATGTGTGTGATCAGCTGCATGCAAGGATAGAACAGTAAAAGGATTTTATTACAGGTGATAAATGATTGTCGGGCATAAGGGGTAAAACTATCAGCAAATCAGCTTTGAATTACTATTTCGATCTTTTCCTATGTTAATGCTTCTCAATAGCATAGATCCTAGAACATCTGTATTTAATCAGCATGAAATTCCTAATGAGGTCATGGAAATTTAGAAATTGTTTTATAATTGCCCTTGCGAAATATGTCTATATCTAAATACATGTATTTTTCAGATGTTTAGTTATAAAAAAGCAACGAATGAAAGAAAATAGAAACAAGGTCGGTCTGCCTCTATACAATTTGACGTATGCATATACATACATACTTATATATACATATATTAATTTATAAACCAAAATTCCACAATTCACATATCATAATACATTTATACATATAACAATTTAGATCCCTGTATATTATTTTGGATATGAAATATTTGACAGCCATCGAAACATATGGGCTATTCTAGAATATGTTTCTATGTTATGTTTCCTAGAAGAATGAGGTCAGTTGGTACGCTCCCTGCCTCTCTTACTCTGTTTCTTACTCTCTCCTAAATATATAGCCATTTAGGTGGTAAGGATTAGCGCCATGACGATCACTTGTCCTAATCCACAAAAAAACATATGGTGCTTTATCTACGAAATACAACCAATACAATATTCAGTCAACCATTCTTCCTTTTGCACTTGGTTTTATTCGATTTTGCACCACTGTACCAACGCCGATCGCTCGGAAAGTAATTTGCTCTCCCAAACCATTAACAACCTTCCCTTGTTCGCCGTTCTTCCACTTCGCTTCGCTTGTTTCTTGATTCCCTCTTGTTTTGCACTTACATTCTGCCTGCATGTCCTGCGATCCTCTGCCGTAGGCTACCTAGCCGAACTACCCTAACTGCTACCTACTTACCTTTAACAAAACACACTAACACACACACACACACATATGCATAGCAGGAACAAAAATTAACTCATGCAACAACTACAACAAAGGAAACGAAACTGGTCCTTAATCTGGCCTTTCTCTGCGCCTCAACATTCGTTCGCTCGTTCGCCCTGTGCGACGTGTAACAATTTCTCGTTCTCGCTTTGAACTCTTGCACACACACACATACAGGCACACATGTACATGTGTGCCCACAGCCTGTGTGTCCTTGATCCTGCTTACTTGTTTTCGTTATTGCTGTTGCTGTTGTTGTTGTTGTTGGTATTGCTCTGCTGTGGCTTGCAACATTTTNCCCCCCGCCACACTGGGCGCTCGTCGGCAGAAGTAAACACAGACTCGTCGTAAACAGTTGGTGGGGAGCGAGGGGGATTTGTTAACATTCGCCTTTGTTGCTGCTTCGCCTTCTGTTCACTGGCAGTTTAGCGCCTTCATTTTATTTCCCCCATTCTATTTTGATTCTTATTCTTGCGAGCGCTTCTCAGAAGCAGCAACAAGAACAAGAACAAAAACAACAACAACAACGGCGACCCACTCTCCCTTAGCCGTTACTCGCGATCGTCGTTCTCGGGCTGTTTGCCTGTTCGCCTCTTCTTGATGTTTATCTGCTGCTGCTGCTGGACAGAACAACTCTTCCCACTGACTCATCGTCAGGCAGACAACGGAAGGCCCGCAGCTTGAGACGCCAGCCACAGCAACAACAACAGCGGCGTTTGGTGTTTCGTTTTTCACTTGATCTTCGGGCTCTCATTTCTTGAGCGCGTCTCTTTAACGCACTTTTCTAGTTTTCCACCGATCTTTTGCCCTTGGCTTTGCACACACGCACACGCACACACATACACATGCACAGTTTCTTACGCTTCATTAGCGTGCAGCCATCTCTTAATTGTTTTATTGTTTCTACTTTGACACTATTTCTTTGAAACGGGTCTGCCTCAGAGCTCATTTTTTTTCTGTGTTGTGATTGCCAACTCAACGGAGTGGAGAAGCACTTGAAATCGCAATTCCCAGYGGATGGGATCGCTTGGTTTATTAATAAAACGCCTCTTTAATTGCAAAGGAGAACGCCCACTTCAACAGCAGATGGACAAATGTACGCAGACACAGACAGACACCAAGACAGACCACAAACTGAGGCCTCCGATAAGGCAGCAGCAGCCGCACCAAGCCGCCGCAGTCCCCATGGAGTGCGAGCGTTTATCTTGTGCCAGTGTCCCGAAATCGAAAAACCAGAAATCAAGAGACCAAAGCAGCGCCAAGATAATTGCACATTTTACTTACGTTTCGTTTCGTTTCGTTCCCCTTCCCATGGCCGTTCCCTGGGCAGCAATCAAAAACAAATTAGAGTTAATCCACAATCCACACATGTGAGCTGCGAGCGGCGATCCGAAAATCTATCTGCGACTCTGCGCAACGAACTATAAGATACAAAGCGCGTCGTTGTACTGAACGCACAACTCAAAGTACCAGTGCCCAGGCCCAGGCCCAGGCCGAGTCTCAGATCCATGCACATAGCGATACAGGTCTGAGACAGAAAGAGAGAGAATCTTAAAGAACTGCACGCGATACAGATGTGCGCGGCGCGCCGAGAGAGTCGAGCCGGTCGAGCTGTGAGAGCGAGAGTGCGGCGAGCGAGTCTCTTCTTGTGCTCATCGCCGTTTATGGCCATTACACGCTCATTCTTTGTGCGGCTTCTTTCGCTACTGAGTCTCGAGCGTTGAAGGTCGTTGTATTTCCTTGAGCGTTTCTTGAGCCGTGACGTCACAGGTAGGCAACAATGACGTCGTCGTTGGGTAGGGGAAATGAATGCTGATGGCCATAACAATGAATAACTTCGGGTTCGACTTCGCTTTCGTATTTCGCATTTCGTGTTCGTATTCGCTTTCGTCTTACGCCTCGCTGCCTTTGCTCATCCACGTTAAGTTTCTGCGGCGAATTTAGCGTCAAATTGCCTTTGTAGTGGCTCGCCTCAACATCTTCTCCTCTAACTTCAGTGGTGTGAGTTTTCTTACAGTAGCTGTTGTAGCTGTCGTGGTGGTAGTGCAGCTCTGTTGCCGACTCTTTCTAATTGTGCATGTGTGCGTGTGTCGGTGTGTGTTTTGAAGTTTTCTTATTCGCTGTTGGTTGTCGCTGCGTGTCGCTCGTTGTGTTTGTGTGCTCGCTATCTTATCGCATGCCCAACGCTCAATCAAGTGTACGTGTCTGCTGGTGTGGGTGTCTGTGAGTGGGACCAATAAGAACGAAGCAATCTTGAAGTGAGTTCCACTACGGCTCTGTGACCAACTGCATTTCTCATTTAGCCGGCAGACAGACAATGCCAACAAAAGCCAAAACAGTTTGATTAAAAAACCCAAGCAAAACTTGCCATAACGAATAAATAATAAAATGCATTTGGTTTTACTCGTCTCGTTCTCTTCTCCTCTTTTTTCATATAAATGAAAAGAAAAATTATAATGACAAAGTAGGCGGCGTGAGCTAAAAGAGAGGGGCGGATGTTGTAGATGCTGCTGATTATAATAAAAGTTTTTCTTTTTTTTCTATTTCTTTTTTTTTTATTTTTACTTAACTCTTGTTCTATTTTGCTCGTTTTACGAGTTTCTTTGGCCGCGACGACTTTGAGGCGCTTGATTAAAAAGCTTTTGCATATTTCTGCCTTTTGATTGAAATTACTTTGAGATAAACTCGCACCACTCACCCAGCTGCAATTGTGCTCCCTCCACTCATAGACGACCATAGTCTAGCCCAAGTCGCATTCAAACACGTATTTGCATATTGTAAACTTTGCAGTACCTACTTCTATGTTGGAAGAAACAGAAACTCAAGCTTCGAATGTGGGCCAAAGTGGCATGTTAATAATTAAGCGGGTAATTAAGCATGCCAACAACACCAGACGAGAATACCCTCAAAAATAATTGTGAATAATGAAATGGCAGCTGCAAAATACCCTACACATCTTATGTGAATATGTAGCTGAAATAAAATATGCAAAGTGTGAAAGCTTTAATTAAAATTATGAAAATATTAGTTATTTAATTTTAAATTTTTTTTTTTTTTAATGAATTAATACTTTNCAAGCTGTGTTTTTAACTATAATATTTATATTTACATGATTAATAATATGTTTTTAAGTTTATTAATTTTATCATTACATATGATGGGATAGAAGCTTCAATGTAAATGTACTAAATAGATATCGTCTATTATGTCTTATCCGAAAACTATTTCATATAGACTATATAGATAGAGTTTACTTACAAGATTGATAAAGGGAAATCAGTTCACTGAAGTAAATTTCCTTATTTCCAATAATATCCCTTAATACCTTTTCTATTAATATTCATTTGATTTACGTAATTCCCATCAATGTCTTATAATGAAACAAATTAGATAAGCCTTGCGTTTAACCCTTGCCTGCCATTTCGATTGAAGTGCAGGGTATGCAGGCATTTGTATGCATACCTAAGTTGAGCTAGATAAATAACAACATCTTGCCATAATCGTTTATAATTGGGTCAGCCACACGTGGCAATTGGTTGCCGCCAGCTGACGCTCCAGACAGACAATGCCACAGTCGGCAAATCACAGTTGGCCACAAATAGACACGCGTCTAGCTAAGGCAGCAGCAGCAGCAGGAGTAGCAGCAGGAGTAGGAGTAGGAGTAGGAGTAGGAGTAGGAGTAAGAGTAGGAGCAGGAAGAGAAACAGCAGCAGGAGCATAGAATAGCACCTGATATCAATGCGGCATCGACTTTGCTGCATTTGGCAATGTTTAATCATGGAGGATGCGGAAAACAGATTGCAGCACCAGATGACGATGCGGCGCAAACAAAGGCCAAAAGGTTAAAAGGGAGATAAACAGACGGAGAACGGAGGACGGAGAGACAGGCTGCTGCATCTTTTAGTTTTTGGCAAACAATGGACAAAGGAGCATGCAGGATATGCGATACATTCACTTTTGCACATTGCCATGAGTTATGGAGATCTTAGGGATGCGGGCGCATATCGATTACGAAGATGCCCTCAACATCGACTTCTCGGCGTATGATTTGCGTTTTATTTGTCTTCTTCTTGCCCGCCTGACTGGCAAAAGGTGCAAAATTGTGAACGAACGTGCCACAAACTGTCTGCAAGGACTTAACGATTAATTGGATTTCTGTTCCAATGCCTAGCAGAGATGCACAGCATCAATATTCGATAATGCAGACGCATTGACTCTACTTTGCATTCGCTGCATCACAATATTTCTGATTCACGGCCAGGTGAGGGCAACCACAAAACCAGCTGCTGCTCCTGCTGCCCCTGCCGCCGCTGTTGCTTGGAGCTCTCAGCTAAATATACAAATTAACCCATTCAAACAAAAGGTTTGAGAAATGTGTCAAAAAAAGAGGAATAGAAAAGGAAAAATAAAGGTGGCCAAACAATGGACGCCAAATGAGCTGAATCCATGTCAATAAAATGCTCAGCCCCTTGTTGGCCGAAATCAGTTTTGTCAGCTGCCTGAAAGTAAAAGTGCGCAGTTTTCATAAGGAAAATATCGGAAAAGTGCAGAGTTTCTCACAGATCAGAAAGGAGAGGAGGAGGAGAATTGTATGCAGCGTTCGTCAATCATTTGTCAGTGCCGGTGTCGAGTGGGCCGTCAAGGAAATGCACTTAGACAGTCGCAAATGTCCCTTTTGTTAATCCTTTGCGCTTGTTTTGCATTGCAGCCAATGCGAATCCTTTGCATTCGGCCGACCATTCATCGGGGCTCGGTTCGGCTCGGTTTCGCTTGGCTCTGATTCTCTATTCCGAGTACATTATCTACCTGCCTTTGTCAAAGAGGTTTTCACCGGCTTTAGCCCTGTTTTTGTTACATTTTTGCATAGTTTTTGTGTGCGTGTCGCAAAGACTACTTAAATTCATGCTTCGCACAAATACAACAACAACAACAACAACTTTAGCGCAATTTGTAATGCGGCTGCGATCAGGAATTAGCCAAAATTTCTGAATGGATTTTCCAGAGTTTTCTAAGAAATGCAAACTCACATTCTATTGGCCTTAACAAGTTGATGTATTTGAGCGCTGCTATAACTAAAATGTTTATCCAGCAATAATTACCTGAGAAAGCTGAAAGATGGCTCTGGTATCTATTATATACTTACTAGAAAATATATTTAATTGGGAATAAATATTTATTTTCTTTATTTTCATACCCTGAACCCATTAAAAATGGAAAATCAGGGTATAGGGGTTTTCATCTTATATCTGGTATATCTATTATTCGAGATATTCTCTGAACTCCTATAGGTTACATTTGGAGTTCCGTTGTATCACATCAAATATACAATTGAAAAATTAAAANTAATAGAAATTACAAATATATATTATATGTATGTATATATTTCATTATTTGCATTAATGTTACTAGTACAAGCAGAAAAAGTCTATGATTAGCAGATTCATTAATTTATTTCTTAGATATTCGGATTAATTGATAACTTAATTTTATTAATTAAGATTAACTTGAAAGTTAAGCACAGACAGCTCGGGTCCTTCGGCTTGATTGAGAAATTGAATTTCACTGCAACGAATAATTGCAGCTTATTGAGACTCCTACTCACAAATATCATCAAATTAAAAATATTCGATTTATTTTACTTTTTCTTATCTAATCTCTAAATTTGTACAACTTATTTATCTGAGCATCTGTTTTGTTTTCACCTTTAACTTCAAGAAAACTATGTCTTATTATTTTCGGCCAACCTAAACCATTGTCTCACTCTTCTGACTATTCCCTTGAATCTATCGATTCTACTCGTATCATAGATTGCTAAATAGTGTTCGATGCTCACCTTTTTGGAGCAGCCTCTAGGCCGGCATTGTCATCGTGTTTTGCCTATGCTGCAGTCTCTGATGACACTTTTAGCTATCTCACACACTCACACATACATGCATGTAAAAGGATAATCGGCCTGGTAATCCTTGTGCCAAGCACAGCGCCTGGCAGCTTGTCCTAATTGAAATGGCGCATTCTAAGCATTTTGGCGTGAATTATAGTCGACAAATGCAAATTTGGCAGCGCCAAGCACAAAAGCTCTTGCATAATGCATCTCTGTAGTGGAATGCAGCTGCGAGATGTCACGAGCAGGAGCAGGAGCAGCAGCAGGAGGCAGCTTATTAGCAAAGATTGTCTATACAAAACAGCGACACACAACAAACTGAAATTGATTACCAAATGCGACGTCTGCTCGAGTGTGCGTGTGTGTCTATATGTGTGTGTGTGTGTGTGTGCAGCAGCCTAATAAGCACAAAAATCTACATAGAGCAGCAATTCCTTTTAATTGAAAATCTCTCTGCCTCTCAGCCACATGTGAGTCGCTGCCTGTGCTTTTCAATTTTTCAAAATTTATTTTCTTTTTTTTTCTATTTTCGCAATTTCTTTGCGGTTGCAGTTGTTGCTGTTGGCTGGCTGGCTGACTGTTG